AAATTTGCCCCCCCAGTTGGGGTGCCTTTTTTTTTTTTTTTTTTTTTTAAGAGACTCGTAAATTTGGGGCTGATACTACTCTTTTTCCCACCCACTTTTGCTCTTTTTTCCCTGTTTCCCTTTTGTCTCTGTTTCACTGTAAGTGCTGGGCAAGTCAATTACTATCAGAGAAGTGGCCTGTTAATACACTTTCAGTCTTTGTTTTTATCTCCTTATTTGTATCTGGTTTTAGAATATCTGCATATTACCTGGCAAGTACACAGACTCCAATGTGATGGGTAGCAGGATTGCTGAGTAGAGTCCATAAATTCTCCCCCTCATCAGATTCTTTGGCAAGACCTTCTTTCATGGCTTGGGCTTGCAAACATTTCAGAGTTGCAGTTGAGAGCCTAAAGGAGACAGCTGGCATCACAAAACTAAGTCAACCCCATACAGCAAAATGTGAATACCCTTGTTTACTCTTTCTGTGCCCCACAATACTCCCCTATCCCTGGATTAATAGATGTTGAGCAAGGAAGAAACAAGGCAGCCTAACTCTCACAGTTTGGTTTAGGGATCAAAAGGGACATCCAGATGACTTGAGCTATTAATAAAGCCACAGAACCTTGCCAGCTCCCACACTCCCTGTGAGAAAATAAAGCCCTAAGGATGAAAAATGGAAAATATTGTATTCCACTGATTCTAAAATAGCACCTATGAAGCCAGGATACATCTTGTAGTGGACGGTATGTTACACTTGTTGTCAGCCACAGACTAGTTGTGCTGTAGTTGCTATTGTCAGTGCATTTACAGGTGGATGCATGAATTTAGGTAAAAGCTCTTTATGCCATTGTCATTTTAGTAAAGTTACATGTATTATTAGAATGATGTGTGCGGAGTTTAAGTGCTATTTAAAATGTCTTTAAAAAAGTTGCACTATGATTTGACATTGAAATGAAAAGTTATTTAAAAAGGTAGGAAAACAGTGATGTAAGTGTGACATAGGGTGAAAATCTATACCTAATAATCCTTAAAGAGCTTTTTTGATAAACATAAAAGATGAAAGTATTGATTCTTTGCTCATCAAGAGTCTTTCTTATTTCTCAATAGTACACAAAGTAATATTGCTTCTTTCAATGGATAAAGTCTTAGATTGATGAAATATTTTAATTTTCCTTCTTTCCCTGGTGGCTTTGAATACCACAGACTTCCAGTTTTCCTAAAAGGTCTCAATGAAAGAAGCCACAGAAAAGAGAGTGAGCCCTCTTGGGAAGACAGTGTAATCCCTTATTCTTTATATGACCATTGTGGACAGCTACATCAGATACTGGCTCACGGAAGAAGGGCTATCAGGCTTGGTGTCATGCCTTAAGGATGGCAACACCTTATTTCTTGGTGGGTATTCGATGCCATGTAGGAAGCATAGATCCCCATCTGGAGTTGGGGATCATGAGAACTCTTGACGGTTCTCCCTGCCTGGGTGGCTGTTTACCTGCAGGGATCTGGGATCTGCTGCCGTTCTCCCTGCTGCATGACATGCCGCCTGTGGCTCAAGGAAACAGTGGGCATCTTCTGGCCCAGCGTGCAGCTCACCAACTTCAGGAGGACAGTGAACAGCTCTGGATACATACCACTGAGAGGAGTGCCTGTTGAGATCACTTCATACATAGCGCAGGCCACCTGAGGTAAGAAAAGACCTCTTCATGAGGCTGTCTCCTTCTCCCAAGGCCACCTTCCCCCTGGGCTGATCTTCAAGCCTGTTTTCTCCCCCAGTGATTGCTTTCCAAGTGGTGGGAAAAGCATATAGAAGGCGTGGGGATTATTTATCTGGAAACTTCTTACGTCAGACTGTGTTTCTCTCAGGACACTGCTGTGTTGAGTGGACTCCAAACTCCAGGAGACATTAGTGTTGTAAAAAAAATGTTTCTCAACAATTAAGTTTGCAACTAAAAAAGGGGTGCTGTTAGTATTTTGAAAATCAACTTGGAAATACAGAGATAAAGATTTTCTTTGGAACTGATGAAAAATTTGCTCCTAAAAAATGATCAGCCACAGGCAAAATTATTGTTCTATTTGTTCAATATAACCTGGAGTAGAGGTAAAGCTAGAGTACAAAGAAATGTGACTGATGCTCCAGGACCAGGTTCCAGGTGGGAACAGATCACGCAGGGTCCAACTCACGGAAATTGCGTCTATCCCGGCGATGTCATCTTCTAACCCAGTCTCCAGCTTGTCTATTAAGGAGCGCGTGAGTTTTCCACTAGAGGCTGAGTTTTCAGCCAGCGCCTTCCACAGTGTTTTTGTGTCCCTAAGGTAGCAAAGTAGGCAGTTAGTAGATAAGGTACAACTCTTTGGACAGTGAGCCTTTCCATGTGACTCGCCCTAGAACCACATTATAAGGAATCACAACTTAAAGGACAGATAAACATGCTGCCCTGCCTAAGGAAAATATAAAGATTTTATTTAACAATCCAACATTCTTGGGTTATTCAAGTTTGCTTAATGTCCGTTAGGAAGGAAAGCTCTCATATAAGTGCTTTCTAGGCAACCGGAAAGAGGAGAAATACTTGTTTTGCAATATTCACTTATTTCTTTGATGTCTTTTTCTTCCATTCCCCAAATCTCGTTATTATTCAATGAGGGAATAAGTGTGTGTGTGTGTGTGTGTGTGAGTGTGTAACCTTTTTGGAAAAACTTTTCATTCAGATACCAATTCTCAAAATGTCACTCACATGAGCTACTTTCAACCTTTTTTTAAAACTGTCTTTTGTGAAAACAACAAATCCTTCCCCAACACCTTGTGGAATGACCTTTCCTGGGAAAAAGCATCAGTCCAAATAGAATCTACTTGTTGGAGGGCCAGCAGGTGGAATGTGGTGGCTAGGGAGCAAGACGTCTACATGGCCAACTAGGTTCAAGATTCAGACCTGGTGGTTTGAAAATCACTCTGGGCATGTGTGTGTGCATGCCCCAAATCCCTGGAGGAAAACAGAGGAGAAGAGAGATTGCAGTGTGACCATCCCTTTCACTTTCTCTCTCTCCATCTCTCTGGTGAAGATACAGCCCTATGGCAAAAATCTAAAAACAAAACAAAACAAAAGAATCTACCTGTCGAAGGGCAGAGCCTTTCGTAAAAGGTTGACAACAACTGCATCCATGTGAAAGCTGGCTATCTGGGAGATGGCTTCTAGTATAAACTGAAAACTTTCCTCCTTTTGTCTGAGAACCGGCATGTGATGATAAATTGTGCTCAAGATCTCCAGTAACTGAAAAAGAAAAAGTCAAATCAAACATTTGGTTGCTATTTTCCCTCTGCAGAAATGGCTCAGGGCAGGTACCATAAGTATATTGTGGGTAAGTTATTGATAAGTCAAGAAATCTTTAGAAAGTTCATAGAAAATGCATATCATTAAAAAAATGCACACTTCTCAAGGCTTTTATTTTATTTTATTTTTTTCCCAAATAAACTTATACTTCAATTACATTTTTTTCATAAACATTTGAAGTCCTTTCCTAATGTTAAAACAATAATTGATTCCACATATGGCCTGTTTCTCGTTTGGGAAGATTATTGGTGAATTGGGTATTTATTCTTAATTCACTTTAGCAAACAGTGAAAGACTGGTGTAATGCACACTGAGGAATTGACTAAAGATTAAAAAAAGCAGTACTGCTTTTCCAAAAGGAGTGAGTGATCTGATAAAGGATATTGGTCATAAACCCAGCAGAGTGCGCTTGGGGCCGTGTATGGCAGACAGTAAACGAGAGGTACATAGGGCTAATAGAGGAATTCAGAGGTGACTGAGTTATTTTGGAAGGGAATTTGGTCTGAGTCTTAGCAATTTCAAAAGGTAAAGTTGGAGGTGGGAGGGGGAAGGGCACCCTGACCAGAAAGAACACAGGTGAAGATTTAAAATCAAATGATGTGAGAATAACAGAGCACAGATAATTTTGTGTGTTGGGACACTGCTTTGTATACATCATTATATATTTGCCAAAACTCATCCAATGTACTACACAAGGAATGGACCCTAATTCCACCATTCTATGTAAACTCCGGACTTTGGGAGAAAATAATGTAGGCTCATTCATTCTTACAAATTTGCCACTCTGGTCTGGATGTTTTTAGTGGGGGAGGCTGTGTGTGTGGGGAGGGTGAGGAGGCAGAGAGTATATGGACCTTCTGCTTAATTTTGTTGCAAAGCAAAATTTATTCTAAAATATAAGTCCTATTAAAAAAACAAAATGCATGGGAGCATAAGCATAAAAAAATGCTAAGAAGATTCTTGGAATAGAAGAACAGTTCAGTTTGGAGCACAGAGAGAATGAGGGAGATGAAAGGCAGAGAGAAAACTAGAACTCAGTGGGCATTGAAGGTCACCTTTCTGAGTTAGGATGTTAAACTGCAGGAAATGATACTATCCATTTGGATTTTTGACATGGACAAGGGCATGCATCTATAGGAAAGTAACATATCTCTCTCTTATTTAAGATAAACATCTAAATTGGAGAGTCATTTTAACATGCCATTTTCTCTGAATTATAATTTTTTAATAAGAAATATCCTCCAAATATAATTACCTTCGAGTCCCAGTTCAATGATGCTCAGAGATTTAGTTTCTATTGTGAGTCTTCCTTTTCCCTATCTGTGAACAACCCCTCCTATGTGAAGCACACAAGCACATGGGCATTCCACATTGATCAGGTTTGATTCACCATTGGCTAGTTCAGTGCCTACCACATAGGACATGCTCAGTAAATGTTTTTTAAAAAACGGATTGGAAAGTAATTGTCATAGAGGTAATTTCTAATGCCCTTCTAGAAAAGTCATGCTTGGAAAAAATTTAAATTGAGGGTAGTTGACTCTGGATTAAAGGGATTAGACTTCTTTCTCTTATTCTCCTTGAGATGCTGTCATTTGGTTAAATACTTTGTCCTTTCTATTAACCTTTGAATAACCGTATTCTGCTTTTGATTTTAAGAGAGAGGAGAGAGGCATCTGTTTTGGGAGCTCTTAACCAAGCTTTCTGAACTTAAATAACGTTCACTCTGCTTAACTCTCCAGTGAGGAGGAAGAACTGAGGACTTTTCCCAACCCCATGGCCCTCTTGCTTAATAGACCACTTACCCTCTGCTCTGTGAGAGAAAAGCCTGAAGAACAGCGGTGAGATTAGACTCTCCCCTGGCCCTTGGTGGCCTTCTCAAAGGCATCCACATGATCATTCTGGTGCTCAGAGATCTAACAACCCAACTTTCCATACTCAAAATGATCTTAGTTCACAGCTGCTTTCTCTAGTCAGTGTGGGCGACTTTGGGATGTTTTAATGTCTAAAAACTAAAGAGGCAATTGACACAGGCTTTTGACATGAGTCTATTGTTAACAAATAACACAGATCTCTGCTGAGTCTCTTGAGGCTGGGCATGCTCTTGCCTGTTGCCCATCAGAGGACAGATTGAGAAATGCAGACCAACTTGGCATTTCAGAAGCATCAGAATTCTGCTCAATAATAACTGGCGGTGGGAACCAGCAGTTAGCGTAATGGCTATGCCGCTGGACTCCCATGTAGTCAACTGCGGTTCGCGTCCCAGACCTGGTGGGTTAAAACTCACGCCGGGTGCGTGTGCGTGCATGCCCAAGATCCCGAGAGGAGAATGGAGGAGAAGGGACTGTGGCATGATCATCTCCCCTGGGGGGTGATTTCTCGCTTTTTGTCTCTATGTCTCTCTCTGTCTGTCTGGCAAGCGCATGCGCCCTATAGCAAAAATCTCTCCAAAAAAACCCAAAAAAACAAAAAAAACAACTGGTGGTCAATTCACCTGATCCTCCAGGGCAGCTCCCTGCTCCTTCAGGACACTGATCATCCATATGCCACAAGCCTTTGTACATGTAGGGTTGAGAGTCTCCAGACCATCCAATGTTTCCTCCAGGAACACTTGAATTTCTTCACTTGGGATGAATTTACTGAGAATCTGACAATGCACCAGAAACATACATGTTAACTATCACCTTACTCTGTCTTTGGACTCCTGCGATATGCCATTTGTGACTAGCCATTTTCTGAGTTATCATGGTTCCATGACCAAAGGATGAGACTACTACTTCTATTATTCATAACACCAGATAGTTTATTGGTGTCCAGACTCAAGGGTCATTTTGTTTTGTTCTCACATTAGGATGGACATTGAGAAGAAGAGGAAGGAAGGGAACTCATGTTTCTGAGCACTTATTATGTGTTGGACACTTCTTTAGCCGTGGCATCTGTTCTGGCCCTGTTCCTCAGCTAACTGTTCTCTTATATTCCAACCAATTTCTCATTGATTCTGCTGCTGCCACCTTGGTTCAGGCTGCCTCACCTACTACTTAGATTCTTTCAGTTTTCTTTAGACTGACTTTGCTGACTTTACTCTTCTCAGCCTATATTCTAGTATCCACACAGCAGTCACCCTTCAGAAATATGTCTTATCATGTTATCCCCCTTAGAACCATCATTAGGCTATAGGGGCCTTTGCAATTTAGAAAAGTATGCTCTGTCCTCAAGATGTCTCACCACTCTCTGTAAGTACAGTGCACTGACTTTTTTGGATATTTTGCTGCCTTCTGGGGAAAACTGCCATAACACGCATATAAATGTGTAACGTTTATATTACAAATGATGCTCTCTTATACGTGGGTGCCGTCTTGCATTTCACAACTGGCACACTTGTACATAATGGCCCTGAGTTGTCTGTTTGAAACCCTCCATTGGCTTTAGTTTCAACTGGGGTAAAAAGCAAGGTCCTTAAATAGACCTAGAAGACTGGGCCAGCTTTACAGTGCAGCAATTAAACCCTATGCATAGGGAGTTGGATCCCTCATGGCTGACTATGGGTCTAGTCCCAACACTGATGGCTTCAAAAGTATACCAGGTACATGTGTATGTGCCCCAAATCTTGATGGGGTAGAGAAATGAAAGAAAAGGAATTATGGCATGATGTTAGCCTGTTGAGAGTGCTTTCTTCCTTTCTTCTTTTTCTCTTGTGAGCACATGTGCTCTTTGACAAAAAAAAAAAAAAGAAAAGGAGGCCTGGAAAGTTCTTAAGTCTGCCCTTAGCTATCTTTTTGATCTCATCACTTAGCCTCACTTACCCTTTTCTCCACTTTGGGGCCTTTGTACTTGTTATTTCCCTCTGTCTAGAATAGTCTTTTGTAGCTATCTATCATGATTCTCTCTTTCACTGTGGCTCTAGAGAATCACCTTACTTGACTTTATTAAATTATATTAATTAATTAATAGATTTTGCCAGAAAGCATGTGTGTTCTCTGGAGAGATATTGAGAGATAGTGAGAACGAAAGTGAGAAATCACCACCCAGGGCAGATGTCCATGCCACAACCCCTGTTCCTCCATTCTTCTCTTGGGATGTTAGGCACATATGCACATGCACTCTGTGTGATTCTCAAGCTGCTGGATCTGGGGCTCGAACCTCAGTCAACCAAGTGGGAATCCAGTGCCTTAACCAACATACCAATTTCTGGCCTTGCTTGCCTTTCTCTGTCTCAGTTATTGTTACCTGATAATGTATTGTACTTTTCTTGGTTATGTTTACCTGATATTGTATTTACGTGCCTGAATTCTTCTACCAGGATGAAAACTCACAAACACAGAGATTTTACCTTTTTCTAGTTTTTTGAGCCTAGAGTAGAGTCTGGCATGAGGCAGGTATGAATGATTGAATTGATTAGCTGGTTTTCACATCAGCTCTGAGAGGTAAGCTATGATTTTATTTATTTATTAAACATTTTTTTATTTTTAGAGGAAAAAGAGCTTCATGCAATGCACAAAGAATGCAACAAAACCCTTGCTCCTTCCACTCCACCCCATTGCTTTAGATGCCCCAGGAAAGGTCACTTGGATTCCCAAAGCTTCCCACATTATAAAATGATCAGTAGTGTGTTGACCAGGCACACATGCCCACAGTCAATCAATGACAGAACAAAGATTTTTTAGCTTGAATGTCTAAACTGTTGTCTTCCTTTGTGGTGTGGTGGCCATAGCTTACTTATCTGGAAATGGACCTAGAATCTTCTTTACATCCTTTGGCCATTCCTTCTCATGTATTACCTTCGCTATTTTAGAAGAAATCTTGATCTGGACCTCCACATCGTCACTTTCCAGCCCTTCCTGCAAACTCTGCAGCCTTTCCATTTCTAGGGTTATGCCTAAAATGAACAAGGGAAGACATAGGTAAGAGTCCAAAGGCCCAATAGGGGTTGAAGAATTTGGCTTTTTTTTTCAGTGTGACACTAATTCAGCTGCTGGGTGCTTTTAATAAACACACTAAATGTTAGTGTTTGAGCTGGTAAACAGAAAGTCAACAAATACTGGGAATCATACTACATGCTCTGAATACAATACACTAATTTATTGCTCATAAAAATTGTTTGAAAGAAACTCTCCTGTTATTGTCCTTATTTTTCTTATGAGAAAACAGGGGCAGAGAGATGCGAAACCATTTGCCCAAGGTCACACAGTGAGTAAAAATAGATGAGTTTTCTAATTTGAACCCCAGTGTGTCTGACACAAATACCTAGACTACTCTTTCATATATATATATATTTTTTTTTGAGAGGTTTTTGCACATGTGCTTACCAGAAAGACAGAGAGAGACAAAGAGACAGAAAGCGAGAACTCATGCCTCCCCTCCAGCACAGGGAGATGGTCACGCCGCAATCCCTTCTCCTCCATTCTCCTCTCGGGATCTTGGGCACGTACACACATGCGCCCGGCGTGAGTTTAAGCCACAGGGTCTTGGACTCAAACCACTGTTGACTACATGGTAATCCAGTGACATAGCCATTACACCACCTCCTGGTTCCCATACTGTTTTTAATAGTTCTTTTGGAGTCCTAGTCCTCAGTAAGCCATCTTGGGAAAAATTTAAAAAGTAACTGTTGTAATATGAAATTAACATCGACAGTCATATAACTGTTGATATTAATTTATAAAGGCAAACCTAAAAATAATGGCCTTCTGTTTGTTATTTGAATGTATAGAATAATGAAAACAAATACTTGAAATGCTCTGTGGAAGGCAGCCTGGCCTAATGGACACACATGAATTCAAAAGCCAGTTACTCCCCTTTCAGTGGTCCAAGTAAATGATACGCTTTTAAATGTCAGCTCTCTCATTTTAAAGCTGATTAAGCAACATCCATGAGTACTAATGGGTCTTTTATTTAGTATCACACTAGTTACTTGTACCTAGTAAGTATTTAATAATACATGTCTTTTATCTCTCTCTGTCATGCTTATTTGATTAAGTGAGGAAAAAGAGTTACACATTATGAAGCATGAGGGTCTTCAAAATGTTCATGGGAAATGTGTATTCTGTTAAAACTACAAGGATTTCTTTTTCTTTTCTCTTTTTTGCACCAAAATAAACGGAGCCTTTTATTTCATTTTTCACAGACTTTTTATGGTCCTCCTCATTGGGGATTTCTTGTTGACAAAAAGTATGTGAAGACATAAATTTGGCATGTTCATTCAAGTAAAGTAGGCTAAAAGAAGGATAGGTGGAAAAATAATAGAATTCATATCCTTTTTTCCCCATACATGTTCCCTTTCTGGGACATTTTTTTTCTTCTTTTTACTAAAATATTTCCTTAGTTTCCAGTTTCTTAATTCCTCTTATTTTAAAAAAATCTGTCTTGGCAAAAAGTGTATGTCCTTAATGCATTACTTCTATTTTTCAAAAAGCTTTCATACCTACTCTGACTCTGTTGAAAAGATTTTTTTCCCCTTTTTCTTTTGACTGCCTCCCAACCCTTGTTCACCCAATCAAATATGTTCAACTTTAATGTATTTGTTCTTATGTGTATCTTTAGATTGTAGTATCTCTGTGTTTCCAGCATCAGAACAAGGCTGTATGTGTGAAAAGCACCTAGTAAATATTCTGAGTATCTAGAAGAATGATGACTGGAACCTAGGCACTAAGTGGCATTTACCTGAGTGTTCCTGGCACACCTGATCTCCGCAGGTCTGTGCACACATAATGTAGGCTGCTGTGGTAGCACAGCTGCTGACGTAACCTGGACAGGAGCCCTTGGCTGCTGGTTTTAGACTAAGACTCAAGTTTGAAAATTCTTTCTATTTTCTGATATTGAAAGTTATTCATAATTAGTTGGAGAGCAGGAAGAAGTTTTGCTCCACAGACTGAAAAAATCTTCTCAGAGTTCTCTCTCAGAGACTTTTGAAAGACAGTACCATTGTAATAGTACAATTTGCTCAATGATTTACATCAGAGCCTCTCAAAACATTTTACCTACTTTAATGGCTCTTTATAATGCTTCTGTGTTATTATCATTATTTTTTTAAAAAGGGAAATCAGAGCCACTGGAAAAAAGAAATGACTTGGGGACCAGCAGTTGGTGTAATGGCAATGCCGCTGGACTCTCATGTGGTTGTCTGAGGTTTGAGTTCCAGATCTGGTGGCTTAAAGTCACGCCGGGTGCATATGTGTGTGTGCCCAAGATCCCAAGAAGAGAATGGAGAAGAAGGGATTGCAGTGTGGCCATCCCCCTGGGGGGGAATTTCTTCCTTTATGCCTCTCTGTCTCTCTCTGTCTTTCTGGCGAGTGCATGTGCCCTATAGCGAAAACCTCTCCAAAAAAATAAAAAAATTAAAAAAAGAAATGACTTGGTTTAGATCCAAGAGAAAGAAGAATTCTGTGATATAAATAAGGTATGACAACTGAAAAAATGGCAAACATAAGAAAGACAGACAGAGACTCATGAAAGGAGAGGAAGGAGAGAAACATACATACATGCACAGGAGAAATACTGAGAACCAAAGAAACAGATATCTTCTCCTAGTTTGTTGGTCTCCCACCTTTCCCTTACCTTTTATACAGAACAGACCAATAATGGAGCAGGCAGCTGCCTGACGGATGGTGGGCAGGGTGTCACAGGAGTGAGGAGCCAGGAGCCCAAGGAGTGAACCGATTTTAAAGTTCTCTGGTGCCTGTGGGGTAGAGGAGACACCTCGCTGTGACGGGATGGCCTGATGGTGTCCACGGATATTCCCAACACTGAATTTTAAGGCTTTTATTTTCTCTCTGCAAGTCCTTAGAATGAAATTGAATCTCGAACTACCCTCTAAAAGGCATCCACTTCTTTTTTTTTTAGAGAGAGAGATTTTTGCTATAGGGCATGTGTGCTTTCCAAAGAGACAGAAAGCGAGAAATCGGAAATCAACACCCTCCCTCCCCCAGAGGGGATGGCCACTCCACAGTCCCTTCTCCTCCATTCTCCTCTAGGGATTTTGGACACGCACGTACACGTACCCGGCATAAGTTTGTAAGTTTTAAGCTGCCTGGTCCAGGACTCGAACTGAGATCTATGAACTGGAAGCCTAGTAACGAGAACATTATGCCATCTGCTGGTCCCTTCAGCATCCACTTCTTTAAGGGTGGTGGAAAATAAGCAAGCACACATGCAAAGACCACCAAAGAGCTTACTTTCAGGAATCTCTCTCTCCTGAAAGCACTCCACCCTAGGACCTGAGATACTTCATGTCAGTTTTGGCTTCCAGCGTCCAGTGAAATCCCTCATTTGCAAACAATACAGTATCTTCATTCTAGAAGTCACTTACTTCAACATCATTTGTCAGCACTTTTGCAGTGATCTGGAAAGCTCTTTCTCTTTCCCACTCTTTCTGTGAAACAAGCCACATTCGGAGAAGCTGTTGGTGAAAAAGGAAATGCTCTTTCCGTATTATTCTTCATATTTATGTAGTTCTTCTCCCTCTCTCTGCTTCTTCTGTGACATGGGGCTCACTTCCCGCCAAACAATTTTTAGGTGGACTCCCCTGTATGGTGGGGTTAGCAGGTGGGACTGGTGTCCCCCTTTGAAGAAGGTGAGGTGGAGTTTGGAGTGGCACCCTGGAGCACAGATCAGGGAGCCCGAGAATCCGGCCATGTGGGAGCCCTACTCACATTAAACATTTCCAGGCAGTCTTCTGCATCCATATTGTCCCACATCATGCTCTTCAGAAGTTTCGCTAGAGCGTCCATGGATCGTTCATAGAGAAACTGCAATCGAATGTGAGTGTGTGAGTGGCTGGCTGCAGTGAGACAAATGTCATGACAGTTTTCCCTTCTACGTGGGCCTCACTGCCACCTACTTTGATGTGTTCCTTGTCCTTGTCCGTCTGGCCATCATTGCTAAGATTTTCCAGAGGCGGAAGAGGAAGCAACCTCCGAATGTTTTCCTCCAGAATGTTAAGGTGATCATTCAGTGGGAGCTGAGGTTTCATTTTACTGAGAAGAGAGCCACGGACAGGAATGGATGTTATGAATACAAATGGCACATACTCTGCAGGGATCCCAGGAATGGCCAGTCAAATTTGAATATGTAACAAGCACATCACATTTTCTGGCATTTAGGGATTTGAGGGAGGTGGTGGGGAGAGTGGGGAGAGACGTGGGACATAGAACCAGACTAGACAGCATGCCTCAGTTCTATTTCATTAGAAGGACATGCAATCCATCACTTCCTTTGTTACTTAACACTTTATTATATGATCTGTGAACATCACCTACTTGTTTTTTGCATCATGTGTGTATGCATGAAAGAGAGCGAGACAGACAGAGAGAGAGAATGAGGGACAGGGAGGAGAGATCTGTGCCCAACTTAAAGTTTGGGGTGGTGAATTTATCAATTTCATATGTCTTCTATGTAGTGACACACAAGTTATAGGTTTTTTTTTTTTTTTTTTTTTTTTTTTTTTTTTTTGGTGGTTTTTT